TGTACATCAGGTCATTTCAGATGCTACGGCGTTCCCGGGAAGCGACGCACCCTGCGTTCTCCCAGTGGCAGGAGTGACAAGTGAGTAGGCTGGGAACCTAAACCACGTATGCACCAGATCCAGCATCCATGTAGCCTGCTGGAATGTGAGAACATTGCTAGACACAGGAAGTCAGTGTATCACGATGCGATCAATGCAAGACTAGAAGGTAGACATTTGTTGTCTGTCCGAAGTTCGACTACCTAACTGTGGCACAAAACTAATCAACGTACCACATAGCAACGAGACCTACTGGTTATACCACAGCGGCAACTGACAACTCCGGTTAGCAAGGGGCAGCAATTGCCGTGAGCGACCGGGCCAACAATGCCATTATCTCCTGGACACCAATCTCTCCCAGGATTGCCATAGCGTGCCTCAGGGGAAAACCGTTTAACCTGATTGTCATCGCTGTATACGCTCCAACGTCACATGCGGAAGAGCCCATTAAAGATGGCTTGTACAACTAAGTTCAATTAGCAGTGAGCCGCAGTCCGAGACGCGACATACTCGTNCGAGTGTACGCACTGGCCCATCAGACGAACATACTTGGCATGTTGTGGAAAAGTTCGGCCTTGGTCAACGTTGCGTAAATGGAGAACATTTGCTGACCTTAACCGGCTGGTCGTGGCCAACACTCGTTTTCAGTACCCCAGAAAACACCTGCTTACATGGTACTCGAATGATGGTCGAACGGCACACCAAATTGATTATATTTTGTTACGTGCTCGTTGGGCCTCTTCGGTGGAAGACTGTCGTTCCTATCGCGGCGCAGAAACTGGAAACAGAAACGGTACGAACTATACCCTTGTACACGCTTGCTTCAATATCCATCTGACTACTCGCCGGAAGACTCGTCTCCCGGGCACATTCAACGTCGCGTTCTTGGAACAACCTGAGAGAAGACAGGCGCTGCTGGACGCAACCGCTTCCAACATAGCCGAAACATTCTTTGACGACTCAACTGTCGACGCACAGTGGTCTACATTGAAAACGTCCGTCAAAGAAGCTGCGCGGGGCAGTTAAGTGAGATTCTTCGCCACAAGAGAGACTGGATCTCCGAGCGTACACTGCAATTTTCCGCAAAGGCCAGAGATGCGCGGCTGATCGATTCTCCTAAATTTTGTATTCCCCGTCGCCAAGCCACACTCTCCACCAAGAGTGACCGTAAACAATACTGGAAGGCGATTGCAGACAGCATGGAGGCTGCAACCGTTGCAGTGGACTTTGGAAAGCTATTCCGTCTAATTCGTGTCGCAGCAGGAAAGAGGCAGATTTCGGAACCACTGTTGCACAGCACTACAGGCCAATTTCTTCAGGGAACTGAGCAAAAAATGCAAAGGTGGGTTGAACACTTCAACGGGCTGTTCAACCAAGCTGGCTCTCTACAGATGTCAAGCAGTTCGGAGGCTTACGACATCAATCCTGACCCACCTAGCACGACAGAAATCATCAATGCAGTCACTTCTTTGAAAAACAGGAAGGCCCCTGGAGAAGACGGGATACCACCAGAGTTATTCAAAGCTTGCCAACTCTGATCGATCCGCTGCACTTTCTTTTCCATACCATTTGGGAAATAGAAGATTTTCCAAAAGATTGAACGGCTTCAATTTTAGTTCCGGTCCCAAAAAAGGGTGACATCTAGATGCGAAAATTACAGGGGTATTAGCGTGATTGATATTGCGGCTCAATTGTTTGCAGTGATACTGCTTAATCGCTTCACAGTCGTCAGAGATACCCACACTCACCCGAACTAAGAAGGGTTTCGCCGCGGAAGAGGCTGTGTTGAACAAATCTTCGCTCTCCGTAGAATTGTGGAACACCGCTACAAGTTCCAACAGCCTACCACTGGATGTTTCATTGACTTCCGCGCTGCTTTTGACTGTTGATAGAGGATCCTTGTGGTGCATATTGCGGTCCGACGAGATGCCCGAGAAGTTCATCAGGCTTTTAGAGTCATACTACTCAGGAACCCGGGCACGCGTCCATACCTATGGAGAAGAATCGGCTGAGTTTACCCTAAGCTCTGGAGTTAGTCAGGGTTGTCACCTATCGCCAGTGTTATTCAATTACACCGTAGATTGGATAATGCGACAAGCACTCATTGACTACCCTGGAGTGCAGCTTGGCCCAGATACATGGATTGCGGACCTCGAGTTTGCGGATGATGTCGTTGTTTTTGGAGACAGCATGGACAACCTCCAGCCTGTTATCAGTCGTATAAATCAGTTTGCCCAGTCCATTAGGTTACAGATCAACACGTCAAAAGGAAGACATTTTCGATCGAAACTTCTACCATGACACAAATCCTCTCGATTAACGGGGAGCCTGTCGAATCAACCGAAGTTTTCAAGTATCCTGGCTCTACGACAAGACCAAACGGCCAGGCTAAGGATGAAATCCAACTCCGTGTAAATGGAGCTTGAGGAGCCTTCCTACAACTCCTCAAACCGTTGTGAAATCGATGCGAAATAAGCTTAAACACTAAGCTTCGGGTTTATCAGGCTTCCATCCGCCCCATCCTCACTTATGGTTGTTAAGGGTACAAGATACAAGGAAGCTCGAGGTCTTTGATCATTGGTGCTTACGCTGTATCTTGCCAGTAAATTGGAGAGATTTGATTTCCAATGAGGTTCGACGGCGCTGCTCGAATAGTGACAAGCTTTCAAAAATGCTACAACGCCAGCGCCTTCAGTGGTTTGGCCATGTGCTCCGAAGGCCCGACACTCAACTCTCGTGACTNATTTCCAATGATGAGGTTCGACGGCGCTGCTTAAACACCCACAATCTTTCGAAAATGCTACAACGCCAGCGCCTTCAGTGGTTTGGCCATGTGCTCCGAAGGCCCGACACTCAACTCTCGTGACTGGCTGTAGTCCCCGCATCGTGCCGTGGATGGCGTTGCCGACTCAGTGGTCAACTGAAGACCTAGAGTAGTATGATCAAGGCGGATTTGGAATTACTGAGTCTTCAATCCGTATATGGAATTCGCAACTGGAACCAGAACTGGGTTTCTCACTGCGTCAACCTTGCTACCGATCGTCATGCATGGGCCGCCATCATTAGAGNTTCAGGAAGCCGACTTATCCTCTCGCAGGAGTCAGTCGATCAAAAGTAAAAGTAAAGTAAGATCATTGCAGATTGCCACACATTGTTGTTTTCAACAACGGGGATCGTAGATGGACCACAATCCTGTGTCCCTAGTTTTTGTTGACAGCATGTTTTTAGTCAACCACCAAGGCGATAGCGCCATTCCGGACAAGGAGCTGAGCTCGGTGTTTGACGGGATGCTGTAGTATGTTTTAACCACTGTATCCGCCAGCGTTCGAGGATGCTAGGCAGGTCTTCAATGAGGATATGTCGCAGGTAACAATCGTCAATTACCTTGAAGCTTCTGGTGTTCTCAGTTAGTAGCGGACACGTTTCATAGTTACAAGTGAGTGCGGGTCGGACATCAGCACGGAAGATGCTCATCTTAGTCCGAAATCTGGTCTCTCAGGGAAGACATCGTCCATTAGTTCCAGGCCTAAGATGTGAATCGTTGGTCTCAGTTGGACACGATCGCACGGTGAACTGCCCAGATGATAGCAACGTTGAATAATACTGGTGAAAGTGAGCAGATCTGTCTCACCGCAGAAGGCACTGTGAATTAGGAAGATTCTTGATCGTGCATTCGCAATTGTGCGGTTGTGAATAAACGGTATGGCTACAGGAGCCTTATAAGATTGACAGATGTCCCGTCAGTTTCTGGTAATTTCCACAGAAACTTATAATTGACGGAATCAAAAGCAGCGCCGAAACCAATGAAGCAGACAATTGTTGACCGCGGGAACTTCAAGCGGTGTTCTAGTATTTGGGGCATTGTGAATATTCGGTCAACGTAGGCTCCGGCAAGAAGAAAACCATCTTGGTTCGGTCGAGTGCTACCATCCCTCGCAATCGAAAAGCTTTTGAGCAGCAGTGCACCCTAAATTCTTGAGGCAACGTAAATCACACTGATCTCTATGTAAGTCTCACAAATCTTTGACTCCTTTCCTTGGAATGCGGAGCAGAATACACTCAACCCAATCGTTGGGAAATATCTCGAGTTCCCGTACAAAGTAGAATAGCTCATAGGGCCTGCTAGCCAAAGAAGATAAGCAGGTCTTACAAAATTCCGATGGGATGCCGTTCTCCGCGGATGATTTTCATCCGGAAAGTTCTGTCAAACTTGGAGGCTCGCAATTGACATTGTATGGCACACGTTGCTAAATGGTAGGCTAGGAAATTGGTCGAAATCCTTCTACTCTGTTATCTTGTCCTGAAATTAACTAAACTGATCACATAAAACAGACTCGGACTTCTGGCTCCTAGTTGAAACGTTGCAGATGAATTGGAAACCGTTGCCAGTCACTGATTATTGGTGCGATCTCCATTTCCTCAGCTAATCCTATCCAGCAAATCGCATAAGTGGCCCTGCCCCTGGTACGTTGAGCACCACAGTTGTGGAAATCCGGTCAAAAATGAAACGACTCGGATAAAGCATGGATCACAGTAATGCCATGCTGAGACAGCGTTGATCAACTTGATAAACGAGTACGCGAGGAAGATTTAGCATTGTGTTGTGGGATAAAAGTGAGTATATTTTAATTTTAAAAAATAGGTTAAGATGTCGGTACTTTGATGAGACACAGTCATCATTATTTTGTGAAACATTTGACGGAACATTTACGTGGTCTGTCTAAGGTTGTAGGCCAAGCCACAAACACATTTTAAAGGGTTTGAAATTTTATGAAGTGCAAATGGTCGGTGTGTTCGTATTATTTAAGTCAAGGATTGTCGGTTGATCTATATCACTACAGCTCATTGCTATTTGGAACAACTTAGTTTCTCTAATCCTACTTTGACAGGAAAAGAGAAACCGAACAATCCTGGATAGTGTGATTAACTATACTTTATATAGCCTACATATAGAGTTTTAGGTAATCGCGGTCGCCACTGGAGCAAATAGTCGACCACCATAGATTACGCTGGTCAGGATATGTGATACGCATGTCACCAGATAGTTTGCCATGGCGAGCGATGTTTGCAGACAGCGGTTGGAAAAAGATCAAGGGCTGTCAAACAAGGACCTGGCATGAGGGTATGAAAACCCTAACCAGGAAACTGGGTCACATAAGTCCCGTTAGGCTCCCTGGCTGGGGACTCCAAGATGATGGTTATCGACGGTTAGACACTGAGTGGTATGGCTGTGTTGCAAGCAGTAACGTGCATGCATCTACTCATTATTCTCTTAACATCAGCCTATATAAATTCACTATCTTCCGCTTCAATTTACTCTCAACATTCCAATCTTCATTCTACTCTTTTATCCAAATGGGCAACCAAAACCGGTGCACGAAATTGCATGGTTAATGGTTGCAAGAACTGAACTGAACTGAACATATAAAGCAAATATGAAGCGATTGGACCAAGTTAAGATTTGTCTCGCGAACAGTATTGCGTCAAATTGGTCGTGATGAAACGAGTCAATGGAATCTTTAGCTTTTGGCGGTTAGAAATACTTCTCAATAGCATCAGCAGTGAAAAGAGAACAATGCGCGCATCACTAACCCAAATGACCCACCGTTACAAATGGTTATACAGGAGATATTTCCAAAATTGATAGATTTTCCCAGTGTCTTGCGCTCAGGGGAATGTGGAGTTGGAAAGAGGAGAAAATACGACTGGTTTCAGAAAGCTACAGTTTTACTGGTGAACTGATATGCAAAAATTCCGTTGGATGAAGTGGGGGGGACCAATTTACTGGGAGTTTTACTCAAAGGGATGGTGTGAAGGGGATAGGTGTTAACTGAGGCAGTGCGTTCTAAAGTTAATAAAATGAGACGACGCTACCGCAAAAACTGACGACACAACTTTGCAAAACGAGTCTGGCAGCAAAATCAAGGACTCAATGGCGAATCACGAGACATAACTCCTCGCCCCGTTCAAGTACGATTCATCCAGTATGAAAGTAAGGAGGACATTTTCTATAACACAGTAATCATAATTCGTCATAAGAGAATGATATGACCCAGGAGAGCAAGAGAAGTACCAGCAATTAGAGGGAAACATTCACGATAAATCAGTTTGTTGAATATGAATTTGAAAAGTTAAGCAGAGGGTGACAGGATGTCAGAGACTGACTGTTCTCAAGGATGATTGAATTCCAGTCGTACGGCATCTGGGAACAAGGTGTCAAGCTGTCTAGGTCTCGTATGGGTGAGGAAATGCAGCGTATTTGGATAGAAACGGCATCCTCGGAAGAATAAGGATGAAAAGGGATAGTGGAGTGATATCCCGGCAGTTGGTTAGTAACCAGAAGTTGTGTCAGAGAAGAGTCATTGATATGGCAAATTGCTTACTTTTGGATCCAATAGAAAAGGACGAAAGAGGAAAGAGATAGGTACCGAACTATCAATTTGTCCTCAATACTTCTTGATTCCCCGCTTTAAATGAGCTTAAGCATGCATTGCTCCCGAGCTGAATTATTCCATGCATTATTGTCTTATGTGGAAAACATCCATACTACGATAAGGAAATGTGTCCGAATTGTGTAAAAAATGAGATGGTAGTGAAAGCTGATCGGCAGTGCCGGAACGCGATAAAGCTAATCCAATAGGTCTTAAAGAAAAGCATGTGCGCAAAATGAAAAACAAACAACAGGTGCAGTTATTTAACATACCTTGGTGTGGTGGCTTTTAACTTCGTTTTGCAAGCGACGAATAATTTCGTTCGCTTTATTCACCTCTTCGGACTCCTTCTCCAAGGATTTCTCCACCTTTTCCAAATGCCGTGTCTGACGTTGCCATTGCTCTTGTAATCGAGACTGACCGGTTGTGATTCGGGACGACAAAATTCATGGTAGATATTAGAACGAAAATTATCACTCTGAGTGCATGCTCTGATTAAATTTAGAGAGTAATGCGAACTACTTCAGCTACTCGAAGAACTAACAAAACAGTTGAAAAACATTTCTTCCAGTAATAGGCGCTAGATTTGAACCATGAGACTGGAATTCCAGGAAGTGCAATGAAATTTCTCTTGATGAAACAATCCACCCATCCATCCACCCACCCCATTTCGGGTTGGAGAAGAGGAGACGTTGTTAACTCTCAAATGGCATCAGATTGGGCATTGATCCATGAATACCAATAAATAAAATTATTTTATCGGGGAAAATTGTTACTTTTAGTTTCTTCTGTCACCATCTGTATTTTAGATCATACTTCAGTCTATTCGGTGATTCACACTTTGAGTCCGTTTGACGAACAAACCTTGATATCTATTTCTTAAACTGACACAGGTATATGTTCATGAATTATTTCTTTATTCTTATGGCATGAACAATATACCCAACCTCGTTTGCATAATCGGGGCGGTATTGATTCGTTTGAATTACGCTCAACTGACAGCCTGCAACAATATATGTGCCCTCTTTGAGACAACAACCTGAGAGATAATGTATAACTCACTTTGGCAGAAAAGTCAAAAAAAGGAACGAGAATATTGTGGAGCACAACTGAGCCAATGTAAATAATGGAATGAGAGTCAAAGAAGATGATGCAGTTTTGATACAGACGCGAAACTGCTCTGTTAAATCCAAGATATAATCGGGTACAAGAATGGGATACTCGATTGCCAAAATTTACGCCATAACTGACCCCATGAAATGTTTGGCGCTTATCACCGAGATCTATTGCAACTGATTGTGGAGAATCCTTGTGACTGTGGCACAAATATCCGGCTATCCTATAGAACTAGTGGGACAGCTGCACTAGACGCCGAAATATTTGCGATGCAAGCATATCAAGGTAGCCCAAACACAGAAAAATTGGCAAGAGTCTGAGAAAGTGTTAATGTGCAGG